GGCAAATTACACTATACAGGTCAACACCCTAGGAATGGCACAGCAATAAGATAGAAGGGATTCTTACACCATCACACTCTCACATGATGCCTGGAGGGGAAAATAAACTTTTATACTATTCAAGCCACTATTACTTTTGAGTCTCTATTCCAAAATCTGAAACCATATCCTACCAACCAGCAAACCAATTGTTGTAATATAGGTGGATAAGGGCTGTGACACAGGATGTACTTGGTGTAAACTCTACCTGGGGAGCAAGTCCTGAGATTTCCTAGAAAAGGTGATATGTAAGCCAAGTATGTAAGATGTGTAGCACAGAGTCAGGTGAAGGAGGAGGGATGTGCAAAGGTACAGAGGCAGGAAATAACTGGGATGATGGGAAATAATAGCTTCGTGTAACTAGAGAATCATGTAAGAATGGAACAGTGATAAGTAATGAGATCGAGGTATGTGGGTGGGGTAAATTTTCACCCAAATCACAATAAAAAAGAAAGAAAGTGGCTTGCATATAGAAGGAGGCAGAGTAGTGGAGACATGGGCTCTGGAGTCAGATTCCCTGGGTTCAATTCCTGGCCCTGCTAGTTGCTTAGGTGTGACATTGAATTACTTAATCTCTCTCCAAGTGCCTTCCTGAAGGCTTGTTGAAAAAAAGTAAAGTACATAAAAGTTTTCAAGTGTTAGTACAGTGCCCGGCATGTATTGAACACTTCACAAAGGTCAGCTATTATTAGAAGCTCAACAAGAATTTGTTGTTGATGATGATTATACAATTGATCCTCAAGATTAAAAAAAAAAAGTTTTTTTTTTTTTTTTTTTTTTAAATTGTGACTTGGGTGAAGATTTACAGAGCAAACTCACTTTCCATACAGCAGTTTACATATACTTTGTCTCATGACATTGACCACAGTTTACCACAATGCAACAGCTTCCCTCTCACTTCCTCCCCATAGTTACCTCTTCCCAGTGTCCATCCCTCCATGGACATCTGCCCCTTAAGCTGTCTCCCTGTGCATAGGCAGCCCTTCTTTCTCCCATGATTGTTCTCTCCAAGGAGTGTATCTACCTCAGGTAAATGTTCAACTCTTATGCCTGTCTTCTGTTTGGCCGGAAGCCACAGGTGTGGGTTCAATTCCAGACCTGAAGGGCAGCTAGGGGCCATAGTCTCAGTGGTTCCACCAGGCTGTATCGGACCAGCAAACCTGGTCCCCCGCTTTAAAAAAAAAAAAATGTTTTAAGGGATGAACTCAGAGATAGGAAACCTCTTTCCACATGAGTCAGATCCAACTCAAATAGCTGTGAGTTTGTTTTTTTTTCTCATAGGAAACAAATGTAGAAAAAGTAACACACAAGTTAGAAAGAGGACGAATGTTGGGTAGGAAAAATCTCACTTCCCCTGTATCATGCCCACCTCACTAAACAACAACAACAACAAAAGTGCACTGCCTTCGAGTCGGATCTGACTCATAGCGACCCGTCCTTGGGTTTCCGAAGCGGTATCATTATGGTAGTGTTTTGAACACTGACATGACTAATAACCAAGAAGGCAACAACAGAGCAGAGAATCAGGGGTCAAGGCTATTGCGCAGCATTCCTGATTCTAAGTCATGTAGACGGGGCCAGTTTTGTCTCTGAACTTCAGCAGCAGCTAATGCTATTAGGATGAAAGATGGGTCCATTTGGGTCCAGATCCTGGTATTTTAGCAAGACTCTGGACGGTCAATGGTTGGGAAAAAAAAACCACAAGAGCTGAGACAGTTCCTAGGAAGGAAGTTGAGTAGCTGAATTTGTCAAGAGTCAGGAAACACCCTGCTCCAGGTGTGTGCATATATATTTGGAGTAAAACAGCTAATTTCTTCCAAGGACTTTAAAGGGCAAAAGTTTTCCTTTTTTCCAACTTACTTTCATACATACATGTGGAGAAGTAGGCTCATCTGAAGCACACAATGCCTTTTGCTTTCTTTATTAGTATTCTCAACTTGCAAAGAGATTCTTCTCCAAATAGTTTCAAATAGTTTTAAGGAGGATTTGGGGATGGGATTTACATATAGAGTATTTTTGCTGTAACTCTGCAGACACTGTCTGATTATCTGTCCTGAGAGCCACAAGAGGCACTTCTCTGAGCATCAGAGCTAAGCACAACAGAACTTGGAAGTGATGGAAGTCAGATAGGTGGAAAACGGTCACCACTTGAGATTTTGGATGTTAAAGGACTTAAGGAGACACAAAAGCGGACACTGAGGAAGCATCAGTGTTTGGGCAGGGCTGATGGAGAGAAATCAGCAGAGACTGCTGGACTCTCTTTTGGCACACAAAACCCCAATAGTTGGGGGGTACATGAAAATGCAAAGTGCATATTAGCAGTAGCTGCCATACAAAAGCAGTGGGACCACCAAGCCAAGAGCAGGTAGAGGAAGGAAGTGTGCAGCAAATACCTTCCAATGCAAATGCAAAGTAATACTGTAAAGAATGGGACTGTCCCCTGAAATGTTTATTGTCTGCAGCCATGGCCTGGAATTATATAATCTCATCAGCTTTTCCTCTCTGGGACTTAGTTCTGCTATATTTAAATTTGAAGAAATCACACTGCTTCCCAACCCGAGTTAATGCTCGTCCTCTGTTCCCTCAGATCTCTGTTGTTAGTTGCTGTTGAGTAGATTCTGACTCATAACAACTCTATGTGGCAGAGTAGTACTGCCCCATAGGAGTCTCTGGGCTGCCATCTTTACAGGAGCAGATCACCAGGTCTTTCTCCTGCAGAGCTGCTGAGTGGGTTGGAACCACCAATCTCTCCATCAGCAGCCAAGTGTTTAACTATTGCACCATAGGGCACTTTCCTCTGCACTGTAATTGTCTGTTAATGAGTCTACCTCCTCCCTTCTCCCCCAGTTAGACCTTAAACTCCTAAGGGTTAGGGCTGTATTTTATTCACCTCTGCATCTTCATGGCTTGGCATATAGCAACTGTTCAATCAACATGTGCTGACTAAAAGATCTCTAAAGTTCTCCACAGAGTTCAACATCAAGTGTGAGTAAATCACCTTCCCAGAAGTTGTCAAGAACAGGCTGCCTCAATTCAAGCACCATGGTCCTTCCTTCCCTTCTTTTCTCTTTACTTAGCTTCTTTATTTGCATTCCCAGTCTAATGTCCTGTTTCACTTATAACCTCAATATAAGGACCTAACAAATGTCAAATACAAAAACCAGCCCTCTAGTTTACTTCCTTTTCCATTAGCAAGAACATAGACCCTCTGTCTTAGCTTAGATTCTCTTGGAAGTAGATCCTGAGATAAAGGTTTTAATGTAAGAGGTTGACTGGGGAAATGATTCCAGGGAGCACTTGTAGGGGAGCAGGAAAATGAAGAAAGGTGATATAGTGTGCACTAATGAGAAGGTACTGCTGTGGGAAAGAGGCTCAGTCCTGCTGAAGACACCAAGGAGACACATCTCAGAGTGAGTCATCCTCCATGAGAAGAGAAGGAACGGAGGTATTTATCTACCAACCATCTGAAACTGACTGAAGGCTACTTTTTACGGCAATAATTCCCGATCACTATTAACCTGCTCCCACACTAGTTAACACACTTCTGCAGCTAGAGAAAGCCTTAAATTCTCCTACAAACAAGATATCAGCACATACAGCAACAGCGAGGTCTGAGGGGATATGGGCAGTGCACCCTTACTTTCTGCTACACTTTCTAATCCTAATACCCTAAGTGCTCCAGTCTCCCACTCTAGTTACCTCTTATTGGATTGAAACATAATATTCTCCAGTTGAAAGGGACTTAGTAATCATCCCTCTTGAGTTCAGAAATCCCCTCCACAACATCCCTGACAAGTCAGTCACCCTCTGAATACTGCTAGTGGCAAGGAAGAACACTGGTGGCATAGTAGTTAAGGCACTTGGCTGCTAACCAAAACGTCAGTGGTTTCAGACTCTCCACAGGAGAAAGATGAGACAGTCTGCTTCTCTAAAGATCACAGCCTTGGAAACCTCATGGGGCAGTTCTACACTGTCCTATAGGGTCACTGTTAGTTGGAATTTGTGGGAGAAAGATGAGCCAGTCTACTTCCCTAAAGATTTTACAGCCTTGGAAACACTGCGGGCAGTTCTATTCTGTCCTATAGGGTCACTATATGAGTTGGAATGAACTGGATGACAATGGTTTTGGATGGTTGGTTTTTTGACCTGGATTGAATGGTGGTGACCTTTTGGGCAGTTACTGATTGGTAGGGAGTTCAAGAAAGCCCTTGGGATATCGGAAATGTTCTTATCTAGGTCTTTGTTATATTGGTGTACATATATGTACAATTCTATTGAGCCATACACTTAAGATTTGTGCATTTTATTGTTAAGTTGCACCGATTTTTTTTTTTTTAAGTGTTTAAAACGTTTCTGACCTATATAAACACATTAACAGGTAATTTCCAGTATGGTAAGACCAGTGATAGAGGTCTGAAGAGCCTGATACGTAAGCAGTGGGAGAGCCACCCTCCAAGTACCTATAGTTGGCATGCCTTGACAAGAGGAAAATCGGACGTCTTCCTTCTATCACCAGAACGTCTCAGAGATCATGGGCCTTCTTCCATACCCTACGATCACGTTCCCAATTTGATACTCAGCTTTAGTGCCCTATGTAAGTTCAATAGCCAAGGAAGCTCTTAACTGTTGGTGACCAGAGCCCTTAGAACGAGATTCCCTCCAAACGCCAGAGAAACAATGGAACACTTTATGCTTTAGATATTTAACTACACCATGAAGATGTGGATGCGTGTCCATGTGCGACTGAGGAGATTATTACTAGTACTGATTTGCCCGGCTGGACGTCACAACCACAGAACACAAAACACTGAAAGACGCTGGACGCGGGCCACAGCAGTGCGCACGCGCAGCCAAAAGTTGCCGCCGCGCAGGCGTACGCCCGTCCGGCTCTGGGCAAAGTGGAAGGAAGGTGTCCCGCGAGCACGCGCGCCCCCGGGTGTGCGAGGAGAGGGGCGCGCCCCATGGAACAGCGATTAGCAGAATTCCGGGCCGCCAGAAAACGGGCCGGGCTGGCAGCCGGACCCAACACCTCAGAGCAGAGCCCGCAAACCTCGGAAGAGAAAACGGAAGCAGCCCCGGGCTGGCTAAAACGGTTCCTGTTGTGGAAAACGAGGCCCACGAGCCCCGGGCCCCAGTCCAGCCACCCTCAGGTGAGATACAGGGGGCCGCACCCCCAGGACTTTAGTTCTCTCCCACCACCTTGGCCTCTCTGAAGCAACGGCAGAGGCCCCGCCCCCACGCAAGGAGAGGCCCCTGCTCCACCACGTGACTGCACACAGACCAACCCCCCCCCCCCCCAACCTCGGACGCAGGCGCCCGGAGTAGACGCCTACCTTTTCGCGGGCTGGACCTAGCGTGTTGTGCCGTAGGTGTCAGCACTAATGCGTGGCTTTGACATTTTCTTTCCAGCCGGCGTCCAATTCAGCCCCTGATTCCAAGCAGGAAGCTAGGGTCTAGCATCCTGGAAGCAATCATCTCTGCCGTTTAGTTATCTATAGCGAATTGAGTTATAGTTGTGATGCCCTGTGACTTTAGGAAACCTCCTCAGGTAACCATGCTGAGCCCACAGCCCTCTGCTAATAGGGTCAGAGGGCTAGTTGGAGGCTGATAACAAGTGGCAGTAAGTAAGGTTTCATTTGATTTACACCTGGTACATATGCAGCCAGTAGTCCAAATAGCCTGTGCTTTCGGAACGAGTTTAAATACAAAACTTCCAAAAGTTTAGGTGTAACTGCCAGTGGTGACATGTGTTTGTTCACTGCTGACTGGAGAAACTTGTTTAGATTCAATAATGAATGTACAAGTAGAAAACAGTCTGGCTTAGTATGATAGCCTTTTAACCATTAGTTTAATTTTGTGGTTTCCCTTGTATTTTGCAAACGAATATAATTCACAGCTCTGCGTGTCTTCATTTACTTTTCATTCATGAGTAAAATGGCAAAATGATTTCTATGCCAGATTGGAATATCATTATGGGAGTACAACACAAAACATATCAAGGAAAAATCGACAACAAAGTGAAGCCTTTGTTCCTTGTAAGTGTATTAAGAGCTAAAAAAATTCCCTTTCAAAATAAAAATGTGTTGGAACAAAAGTGCATTGCTCGATTAATTTCATCGATTATTGAACAATGTGATTTTAGGATTTTTTTTTTTTTTTTTTTTTGAGAAGAACTTACTGTTCAATTTTGATTCATTGTTATTCTCCATAATACCCAGGGTTCCAATGGACTCAAAGAAAAGGTAAAAAGAGTGCAACAGCGTTCAAACAATCCATCTCCTTGCATGCAGTCTGTCTCATTTGGCTAGCATAGTGCCTAAGGCACTTGACTGCTAACCAGAAGGCTGGCGGTTCAAACCCACCAGCCACTCCTCGGAAGGAAGATGGGGCAATCTACT